CCTGCAGGTCAGCAGCCCTTGACGACCAACTTTTAGAGGCCTGGTGTAATATGTGGTATCAGTGTGTCTTTATGGGCTTTTATAAAACTGACATCGAGGTGGATAGGAAAAATTTGACTGTTTTTGTTGGTAGGACAGCATCAGAGCAAAAGTGAAAATAGGATAACAGACAATGTGTGCTTCTCCAAATTAGCGTCTTCTATGAACTTTGCCCATTTTGTTAACTGAAAGCAATTCTGTAAAGCTGAGCAGGTCATCCTCAGGCTGTCAATCAGATAAGCCAATTGCAGTCAGAGTGCTCAGATTGCTACAATGCTATTTGCAAAAATCCAATTATGCCTTCCTCTATTCTATACATACAAGTATACACACACATTGTTACCCCACCCTCACACATCCAGCCCCAAAACACATGCATACACACCCCGACACACACCCATCCCACCCACACACTCCCACACACACAAACTTATCTCACCATCTTTGCACGGCCTTTCCATTGACTTTCATTAAATTCTACAATGTAAGCGTGATCCTTACCCTAACCATTATGGGTTCATACCTACCCCAACCTAAACTAAATTCACACCTTAATCCTAAACATGTCCCCTGACCGAAAAACAGCAATTCATCTCATGGGATCCAGGCATTGGGGCCACACAAGGAGCAGCTGGTCCCCACAACATGCCATATTAACTGACATTGGGCCCCACTGTGTATTAATAACAAGAGCACACACACCTATCCCTGTGGTTGCTTTCCTTTGACTTCTTTTCATATTGCATTCATTTCTATGGCCTAACCCAGTCTCTTACCCTAACCATTACCAACACATACCAAAACCTAAACTAAAATCACTTCACACCAAAGTCCTAAACATAGCCCCCATCCAAAAAAGAGAAATTCTCCTTTTGGGGATGATTTCTAGGTCCCACTAATTACCTATACGTCCCGAAATTGTAGCATATATCTAGAATTGGCCCAACAGGGTAGCAAAAACATGGCCACTTATATAAACATACATATGTATTATTGATATTGATACTGCAGCTCTTTTAGTGTCACTATGGCTTCCTTGGCTGTTTCGTTAATCATTGCTATCCTTGCTTATTGTTAGTTAGGTTGATGGCCATGTCTTGGTGGGTTTGTAGCAGAGGTGTCAAAAGTGTCAATGCTTATTACTCAAGTAGAAGTATAAATCCTGCTGTTTAAAAACACTTTTGTAGAAGTTAGAGTATTAACTTAAACTGTTTACTCTAGTAAAAAAATAAAAGTATAAAACCATTTATAAAAACTACCTAACCTCTTAACATCTGCCTTATTTTGGGTAATCCTCAACTATTTTGCATACCCAAATGGAAAAGCAAATAACATAGGAACTGTAAGCCCAAATTACAAGTGCAAAACATTATTTGAAAGCTAACACCCTCTAGTATCTAGTTAAAATTGGGTGAGTAAAACACAGACCAACCTGCATCAGTTCAAACATGACTCAAAGTTGTTGTTTTTTTTATTCTCGGAAATTATAGGTCTTTTTTGAACAGCAGCATTTCAGACCTCTAGCTATAACAGTTCCAGAGTTGTGGGGCTTTTAACTTTTGGCGTCAGCTTGGAGCTGCGTGCAATGGCTCTACCTGCTGGTAAACATTTAACCGGTGGAATTTTATGCATTCTGAGTTATTACCCCCACTTAAAGGGAAACGCCTTTTTTTTTTTTTTTTACATTTGGCCCTTGATTTTACGTTATTACATCATATTCTACTCACTCAAGCCTGGTTAAAAGCCCTAGAATAAAACAACAGGTTTCCTTCCTTTTATGGTATGCTCATGAATATTTAGATCAGCTGTGCGCTGATTGGTTGGTTAACAACGAGAGAAGCTGCTGAGCAAAGACGCATCATGGCAACAAGCACTCACTCACTGAAACATCAAAATTGATGATATCGTAGGGTGACCAGACGTCCTCGTTTTCCTGGACATGTCCTACTCTGGGGGGAATATCAAAATCGTCCGGCATTTCTACATTTCTGTTATTTCTACAGTGCAGCACGTAGTTGAAACACACCGGGCACCAAACCGATCCATCAGTTCCGGGACTGGGGGCAGGGAGCCAACAGGGTACGGAGGAACCCAACCCGACCAAGTAACGGTAGCCTGGACAAAGACGGCACCACCTGGGTTCCCAGATGACTCCATTTGAGTGCCCGGTCTGGTCCAGTCAGCGGCCCAGCAGTCTGGCTCATTTTCAACAAAGAAACTGCCTGCTTTGTAATTCTTGTACAAGTAAACCCAACTGTAGTTTAAACAGCTAAACTGGTGTCTTACAGTACATCTTCCTCTATTCATGTTCCTTGGCCAGTGAACCAGTGAAATGGGCTGTATGTAAATTTTGGGGCATGACAAAAGTAAAGGCCAGACCCAAATAAGACAACATCCCCAAGTTTACATCAACTAAGGGCTTCGTTTTGGTTTCTCCAGTTTTATGTTGGAAGTTTAGAATTGTGAGATTTGCAAAGAAAGGAGGTGTCGATGGGCTTTGAACTTCTCTCTACATCCATTTCACCCACTGAACTATCGTTATTCATCTATGACAATATAAACTCGGTTTTGCATGGTTTTCTATGACCCCTTTTACTTTAAAAAAAATCAATTAATGGCAACATCTTTGCAGGCTGTTTAAATTTCTTTCATGTCAATGGAATTAAAAAAATATTTTCCATTAGTGGATTTAGCAGAGATATGAGAGGAAACCACTGATATGAGTATACAATGCAATTTAAAATGTGCATAATTCACATTCTGAGTTCAAATATCTATATCCACTTAAGTGTAAATGTGTGTGTGGACCTTTTTTTATGACAGTGTGGGAACTTGAATCCGTTTCACAGTAACCTCATATGGACCTATGTCCTTATGGAGATCAAAATCCTGGTCCTCAAAATGTAAAGTTTTTTTCTTTGAGCCAGGGTTAGGTTTAAGACTAAGGTTTGAATTCAGTTCATGTAAGGGTTAGGTATATGTTGGTAATAGTTAGGGTTAGGATAAGGGTCTGGGTTAGGCCATATAAAAGGAATGCTAGTCAAAGACTTATGGGCCCCATAAGTAAGAAAAACAAAAACAAGAATGGGTGTGTGTGTTTCTGTCAGGAGTTGGGGGTTAAGTACATATGCAGGTAGACTTTGAACGACGTGTGCGTTTAAACGTAAATTAGAGAGGCAATTCCATTTTTATGTTGAGCATCAAATTATACACATGTCATTGTGGTTCAAAGCGCTTAGTTTGTCACTGACGCGAAATGAGACTCTTTTATCTTCTTTGTTGCAAACTGTGACGATAACCTTTCCTTTACAATTTAACACTTTGGTCTGTCAGTTTAAACCTGCGAGTCACAGAAACACCAAATGTGTCACCTTTCTTGTTAAACTGCATCTCATTTCCTTTAAGGGTAGTTTCAGTGTTTGCATGCATATGCAACCTGGCTCTAAATCTTTTGTAACGACTGCCGCAATTTTATGTTGTGAACAGATAATAATAAAGATACACAGAAATTCATATTTAAGATAGACACAAGCCTTTGTATTCTACCAAGCTTTTATGTTTAATATCACCTTCTGACCTCACAAAAACCTTAAAGATAATTTTGGAAAGGTTAGACAAATAACATGTTCTAATCTTTCAAAAACAATAATAAGTCTGTACTAGTCATTGGGAGTGTTAACCTAGTGGTTAGAGCAGTGCACTTGTGCTCTGAAAAGGTTACAAGTACCTGGTTCGATGCCCACAGCCTGCACTCTGGGTTACTGAACAGGACCCTTAACCCCACACTGCTCCCCGGGCGCCGCACAGTGGCAGCCCACTGCTCCCCAAGGGGTTTGATTAAAGGCAAATGTAAATTTCCCCAGTGTGAAATCAATAAAGTTAAATTATTATTATTATTATTAAACAAAATATTATTTATCACATTTCTAATATTTTTTTTTTCATTATAATGATTTAACCAGTGGTGTGAAAAGTACACACATTTGTTACTTAAGTAGAAGTATAGATACTGCAGTTAAAATATCAACTTGACCTCTTTACTCAAGTAAAAGTGAAAAAGTATGTGCTCCAAAAACTACTAAAGTATAAAAGTATAAAGTAACCTTCAAAAAAAAAAAAAAAAAAAAAAAGATGCCACTATATGAATTAAAGTTAAAAGCTGTGGATGGCGCCAATGATATGCATTTGGTTGCGCATATGATGTGAAATAAATATTTATAAACTTTAAACCGAAGCCAAGAGTAACGAGTAAGGTTTGTTTTAAAAATGTAAGCAAAAGAAAGTACAGATACTTGTGTGAAACTGCAATGAGTAGAAGTCAGAAGTAGGAAGAAAAATAAGTAATGGAGTAAAGTATAGATACCTAAAAAGTGTACTTAAGTACAGTAACAAAGTATCTGTACTTCTTTACTTGGCACCTCTGGATTTACCATATACAATCATTTTGTAATAAGACTTTGATGTTTTTTTCATCCTTTACAATCTCGAGAAATAATACTTAATCTTCTAAAATGTGATCTTTAAAATCCTATTATTTCTATAAACTTTAAAGGATAAATTCCATCCTTGTATCTAAACATATGAATGTTGCCCGATGTGTTTTTTCTGGGCAACATTTTAATTCTTTGTCTTTTAGAAAAACTATAATTTTTGTTTGTTTTTTAATCTTAGAAAAAAGTTTGATTTATTCAAATCTTTTTTCAGAGTGTTTACTCAACTACCAACATTTTCATTAGAAGATATTGCATACTGTAATTGAGTTTACGAATACACACTGATATATAATATACACAGACATTCAGACACATTGTTCTAACTGTTGATGTGTGATTGTATGAGCGTGTTATGTATTTGGGTTTTTGCAAGAGGAAGAAGAACATGAGCAAAAGAGAGAGAGAGGAAGAGAGAGAGAGGAACAGAGAGAGAGAGAGAGAGGAACAGAGAGAGAAAGAGAAAGAGAGGGAGAAAGCAAGGTCTACTTAATCTCATATGTTAATCTCTTATATGTATTTATAAAGTGATCCAGGTGGTCTACAACAATTCTTCCTAATAGAGATTTCTAATTGTTGTAGGTTTAAATTTTAGTTTTGGTTTCTTTTTTCTAATCTTTCAAAAACAGTTATAAGTCTGTAGTTTTATGTCTGTACTTATTTTCACAGGACTGTGACAATGAGGACCAACATGCTAGTGTTTGGTTCCCTTTATCTTCTTCTATCTTGGATGCGTCCTGCATACACCCAGTGGGTAAGTGGAGCACCGTTAAATTGATGCTATATTTTAAGTTTCATTTATGGCAGAAGATTTGGTTTTGAGATTTTGAATTTATTCAGTAATCAGGGAAAATGGTCAAAACAACAGATAATCCACAACCACAACTGATATATTTTGTAGTATTTCACTGCAATAAAGATTAAACTCTTTTTAAAAATACGTATCCTATTTCATACAAATAACAATACAAACTGTACTAATGATAACCCCAGTGTCCATGCTACAGTGTAAGCTCTTTCTAGTTAACAAACATGTTTTTTTCATTTTCATCATAAATTACAGTTGGTCCTACAGTTGGTCCTACACCTCTAATTTCTTTTGAGCAATGATCAAAAAGACAGGATTTGTGCCTTTGTGGATGTGAAAGATGTTTATGTGTTCCTCTCAGTCAGATTAGCTAAGAGTTTGATTTATTGGTGATAGTTTTGAAACATTTGATACTGTACATCACTGCTGCTACTACTGCTGTGATTGGCTAAAAAGTTGACATGGGAGACAGGCGATCTTCGGTGATCGACCCAACCAGCTTGAAGAATTGTTTGCATTCTCCTCCCTTTTGCAAACACTTTCCACAGTAGACTTTCCAGGCGCATGCTGTTTAGAATTCAGAATTAACTGCAAGGCTCAATCTGGCTTAAGCCAGCTTAGGCTTAGCTAAGTCTTGTCCAAACTTTAGGAATTTTTGGCAGTTTTGACAAACGGTGGTATGAATTAATTTATAGTTGACTGTATAGATTTTGTTTTCCTTTTAGCTATACAGAGGCTGATGATACATATACAGAGAAAGACAGAAAAATATTAGTTATTTGTAACTCTTAATCGATACAATGGTTTAAAAAGTTTCACTCATAAACTCACTTCATGTTTTATCATTTCAAAATCTGTCTTAGAACTTACTAAATTAAATTATTTACTAACTAACTTACAAAATTAATTTAAAAAAATCATTAATCATTTTAATGGCAATGCAAAAAAACAACATCCTATTCTTATTGAAAGAAAAAGATTAATCACAAGACAGAACTAATCTAAGATGGTTTATGTGCTTTTTAATCTGGGTCTTTAACTAGTATCAAACTTTGACATAATAAAATATAAATTCTGGTTATAAAACAGTAATTTCTTTGGTAGAAGAGTTTTAAGCCAACTCCCATGAGGTGGAGGAAGTAACATAAACTATGAACAGAGTTTCTCAGTTTAGCATGCACCACAAACCCCCATTGAAAGGCATGTGTGATGTTTAAACACAGCATGGCTGTCGCGCTGTGATCAGATTGGTAACTGTGGCCTGAAGTCGGTGTCAACAAACAACAGGCAGCAAGCCTTTATGGTACTGCATGTTGCCCAAACTTTACAGGAACCCTGTGCCTGACCTAAGGGCTTTGAAAGTGCTGGGAAACAGCTGTTAGAAGCTGGCTTGCTCAAGTGGTACGTCACCGACTGGAACACAGGAGGCCCAGGGTTTGAATCCTCACTGAGAGGATTGAGCTCCAAGTGTGGGTCCTTAGGGAAGACCTTTCATGTTAATGCATACAGTGTACTTTGTAAGTCACTTTAGATAAAAGCATGTGCTAAATGCATAGAGCTGTTCACATAATTAAAAAAGACACAAAATTTAAATCACTTATTCATTTACCTGTTCCATGTGTTGAAGAAAAGATCTGGGGCTTGATGAGAATCACCCAGGGCTAAACATTCTTTTCTCTTTCTTTCTAGATCTTTGACAACTCCATTACACAAGATGATCAGTCGTTCTCGTTGGACATGGCTAAAGACTCTGTTGATGACATGTACTTTGACTGTGCAACAAAGATGGAATCTCAGATCAAGAGCAAGTACTTTCAAGATGAGATGAAGAATGAATTCTTCAAAGCTGCATGGGCACAAGCAAAAGACTGTGCAAACCAAAAATACAAAAATAGAGAGAAAGGCGATGAGGCATTAACAAAAGATCACATGCAAGCAATTTGTACTTACACTGCTGGAGGAAAGGAAAACTTCTATCAAAAATTCAATGAAGAAGTCAGGACCAAACGGAAAGCATACGGTTCATCCTTTCAGTTCCATTCCTTACATTTCTGGCTAACAAGGGCTGTACAGATTCTTAATAACCAAAATAAATGTTACACAACTTTTCGCAGAACCAAATCTATGTTTAATGGAAATGTCAAACAAGAGGTTCGGTTTGGTACTTTTACCTCCACCTCCAAATTATCAAATCTGGAAAGGTTTGGTGACGTTACATGCTTCAAGATTAGAACCTGTCATGCTGCTTATCTGAAGAAATACCCAAAGCTTGCTGACATAGAGCAAGAGGTGCTTATACCACCTTATGAGAAGTTCAGGATAATTAAAAAAGGTAAACCTGACAAACAACTTTCAGACTGTGCGATTGTTTATGTTCTGAATAGTACTGGTTTCCAAAGTAATCTTGACTGTCAGCTTGTAAAACAAATACTTTAGTGATTTTTTTTTTAACCTGAAATTTCTATGCAACCTAGAGTAGCCTATTCATCTCAGTAAAATTTTACAAGTGGCTGTTCTTTAATGAGAAAATTTTGATTCATCTCATATTATGTCTTTCCCTCTGAAAGTAACACACCATACTGTAAGGTTAAAAGACTCAATGGATCCTAAAACGTGGACCCTTCTGGCACCAGAGAATGGCATAGCAACTTTATCTGAATTTTTTTCTATAGAGGAGTAATTCATTCTGGTTGCATACAAAGTCTTTTCTGAAACATTACTGTGCTGTAGTATTATTTGTCTTTTTTTTTTTAGTTTTATGTTTTGTTTTTACTTAGTTTGTCACTAAAAAAAAATCTTGTGTAAATTTACTGTGACTCTGTTTCACTATGCCTCTGACTGATCATCGACTGATACTTCACCTTGGCTACTGCATCTCCCCTCCAATGGGCTTCGCCTCTGAGCATTCTCGCATTAAACAGTTTCAATGTTGTACCAACTCACAATGAAACAAATTATTTTATTGTCCATTAAAATAACGGTTAGAGGATTTTATAAAAGTTAGCTGTCTTCAGCCTGCTAATGTTACAGAGAATGCTGTCAGTTACAAAAGTAAGTTTTTTCACATGCGTGTATATATATATATATATATATATATATATATATATATATATATATATATATAGCTATATATAGCAAAAAAACGGGAAACTATGCCATTTATTAAAGGCAAAGAGTAATAAAAACTAAAATGATAGGAACTTCAGTTGTGTTGTCCAAAAGCTTCAAAGTAATGTATATTTACCGTATATGTAGGGGAGGTATTGCAAAAACAAAAGACAAGCTCAAATGTGAAAGACAAGGGTAAAGGTGAGGTCTAGCAGCTGAGTAGCAGGTGTACCAAAACAATGCATCTTTCAGGGGGTATGGAAAACGCAGAGACGTCCCCGCCCCCTCCGCAGACACTCTAATGCACCTCTCCCAAATTATAGGTGACCGCAGACAGTGCCGCACACAGGAGTCATCAAATCTACACCCATTCTACACTATGCGTATTTCCTGTTTGATACCTTACCCGCTTGTTTTGTTTGTATGTCCACCATTGCGGAAAGCCACTCATGAAGTTTGACCAGCTAGAAGAGCGAGGTGCATGAGAACGCTGGGACCCTTTTGTAAACCTGGATCCCCGCTCTTTTTCGCCCTCATGTCCCTCTGTTGTCGGACAAACTTGCCCCCACTTCCTCACAGTCTCGGCCGTATCTAGACCCACAGCTAGTTCATGATTGTCCCTCTTGCGTTGCAGCGTGGAATAACATAGTGCAGACCAAACTTCAATATTGAGCATAAATTTAAAAAAATTTAAAAAACAGCCGCAAGCTCACTGCGACACACCGCTGAGAGAGTATAACCAGCCCTTAAGCCTCAAGTTATTTTAAAAAAGATTGGTTTTGTTTTCTGAATCCATCCACTTGATTGGAGATGACTAGGGGCACCTCTCCTTTTTAATGAGAAATTTACTGCTCTTAGGGGCAAACATATCTATCTCTTCAATGTGGTGCTCAGTGCTCACCTTTTTTTTTCTTTGTCAGTTTGAGTCTGTGTTATTGTGTGCTTACAGGGATAGATAAAAAACTAAAACCCTCTTCCTGTCTCACATACCTGGTCCCTTCGGTTTTTCAAAGAGGTTTAGGTCTCTCAGCATTTTGGCTTTGAGCACTGTGCCTTCTTTTCGTAAAAAAAGTTGTTGTGGAGTCTTTGATTAAAAAAACCTAGCCTTGACCATGCAAATTTGGCAAATTTCCAAATTACCCCTGGTATCTAAAATCTTAGAGAAATGCGTTTTTTCACAGTTGCAACCTTTTTTTTTTTTTTTATCAAAATCTTTAGACGAAATTCAGTAAGGTTACAAAGCTTTGCACAGTATTAAATCTGCACTCTTAAGTTAAAGGTTTTTTTTATGACCTGTTTTTAATAGCAGATTCTGGAGGCTCTGCCATTTTAGTGCTTTTAGACCTGACGGCTGCTTTTGATACAGCTGACCACACAATTCTTTAAAAACAACCAAAGAGATTATGTAGTGTATGTCTGGGGGATCGCGTTGCAGTGGTTTAAGTCGTACCTGTCAGAGGTCCTTTTCAGTCAGGGGGGGGACACTCCTCCTCATCTCCTGCCCCACTTCACTGTGAAGTCCCCCAGGGATCTATCCGGGCCCCATTCTTTTTGCTTTCTACCTCTTCCCACTTGTGGATATTTTTAAGAAGCATAGTACACTCACCAGCCACTTTATTAGGTACCCCATGCTAGTAACGGGTTGGACCCCCTTTTGCCTTCAGAACTGCCTCAATTCTTCGTGGCATAGATTCAACAAGGTGCTGGAAGCAGGGAGTTTGGTCCATATTGACATGATGGCATCACACAGTTGCCGCAGATTTGTCGGCTGCACATCCATGATGCGAATCTCCCGTTCCACCACATCCCAAAGATGCTCTATTGGATTGAGATCTGGTGACTGTGGAGGCCATTTGAGTACAGTGAACTCATTGTCATGTTCAAGAAACCAGTCTGAGATGATTCCAGCTTTATGACATGGCGCATTATCCTGCTGAAAGTAGCCATCAGAAGTTGGGTACATTGTGGTCATAAAGGGATGGACATGGTCAGTAACAATACTCAGGTAGGCTGTGGAGTGGCAATGATGCTCAATTGGTACCAAGGGGCCCAAAGAGTGCCAAGAAAATATTCCCCACACCATGACACCACCACCACCAGCCTGAACCGTTGATACAAGGCAGGATGGATCCATGCTTTCATGTTGTAGACGCCAAATTCTGACCCTACCATCCGAATGTTGCAGCAGAAATTGAGACTCATCAGACCAGGCAACGTTTTTCCAATCTTCTATTGTCCAATTTCGATGAGCTTGTGCAAATTGTAGCCTCAGTTTCCTGTTCTTAGCTGAAAGGAGTGGCACCCGGTGTGGTCTTCTGCTGCTGTAGCCCATCTGCCTCAAAGTTCGATGTACTGTGCGTTCAGAGATGCTCTTCTGCCCACCTTGGTTGTAACGGGTGGTTATTTGAGTCACTGTTGCCCTTCTATCAGCTCGAACCAGTCTGGCCATTCTCCTCTGACCTCTGGCATCAACAAGGCATTTCCGCCCACAGAACTGCCGCTCACTGGATGTTTTTTCTTTTTCGGACCATTCTCTGTAAACCCTAGAGATGGTTGTGCGTGAAAATCCCAGTAGATCAGCAGTTTCTGAAATACTCAGACCAGCCCTTCTGGCACCAACAATCATGCCACGTTCAAAGTCACTCAAATCACCTTTCTTCCCCATACTGATGCTCGGTTTGAACTGCAGGAGATTGTCTTGACCATGTTTACATGCCTAAATGCACTGAGTTGCCGCCATGTGATTGGCTGCTTAGAAATTAAGTGTTAACGAGCAGTTGGACAGGTGTACCTAATAAAGTGGACGGTGAGTGTATGTCTTGTTGCTTCTATGCTGATGACTGTCACATTTACATGCCTAATGCCAAGAACAATCAGAGCCCCCTGACACCCCTGTCTAGGTGACATCAAGGCTTGGTTAGTCCAGATTTTTTTTAAAGCTGAATGGGGGTAAAACCGAAGTCATGGCCTTTGGATCTTCCCACACAAACTTGGGATCCCAAGTTTGTGTGGGAAGCAGGTGGCTTTCACAAATTAATTACGGCCCAAAGTCACCATAGATAGCGATTTTAAATTTGATAAACAAATCAATGGCATTATAAAATTGTGTTTCATTATCTTCATCTTTTATCCAAAGTTAAGCTATTTTTATCTTTTAATCTTTTTGACCAAGTCATCCGTATTTCAAGTTGTCTGGACTCCTGCAACACACATTATTTGGGCATCAGTCACAAAGTACTTTGTGGCTTGCAGTTAGTCCAGAACACTTGAGCATGACTTTTAATGGGCACCAAAAACATGAACACATCACCCCAATCCTTGTGTCTTTGCACTGGCTATTGTTTTAAAGAGTTTTATTTATATCATTTGTTTTATACTTACCCTGTTGTGTGTGCAGCACTTTGGAAAGGTTTTTTAAATGAGCTATATAAAAAAGTGGATTAGATTGATTGAAGTAGATAGCTCTAGTTGGCCCCCAGATGTGTAAGGTTGTTAGAGAAATACCTTAAAAGACTTAAGCATTATGGTAAAAGATGGTTCTAAAATTATTGAACCAAAAGTTTAGGTCTGGTTTTATTAAAAAACTGAATTAAAATCTATTTAAGTATACAGTGTATAAAAAATCATGGTATTGCTTTTACTCCCCACACGCTCATTACACCCTCAACCAGTATAAATTCCTCTACACTCAGTGTAAATGTGTTTTTCACATCCTGTGGTGTATAGATGTTCTTTTCAAATGGTGTGGTTTCTATCAGGAAGTCGTGGTTTGTTGCTGTTTAAAGGATGGTCGGCAGTTAGGTGACAAAACAACAAAAAGAAAACTTCTAAATAACATTTTACAGCACAGCAATACCTTATGATTTTTTTCATTTAAACTTTATTTGTGCTATTATTAACGGTTTCATTCGCAAGGCAAAGAAAATTTCACCATAAGATACCTTGAACAATAAATTAACATAGAAAGGACACAAAATACAAAGGATAGCATCCTTTTTTCAGTTTTGTAATGGACTTTGGCTCTCTCAGATTGCTATGTTAGCAAAATATGACAGGCTATAGACCTAGACCTAGACAAACTTTATTGTAATTTTGTATACAAACGTATACACAAAGTGTATACAGAACGAAGTTTTGTTTTGTACAGCTCTCATGACATTTCCATTTCTTAAAGTGCAGTAGTGATTAAATGTAAACATTGAGAGAAAAAAAAATGATATGGTCAGTTTGATGCAGAGACTGTCATGATCTGCCATGATAGCTGGCCTTAATTGTTCATTTTGCTCATCTGCCTAAGTCTAATCACTCACCTGGGTCTGTTCCTTTATATTTGGCTCAGCCCAGCTATCAAGGCCAGATCATTGTTTGTTCCCTGTTTGTCTTAAGGTTCTGTTTTCGTTAGTTTTAATTAGTCCAGGGTTTATGTTCCCATTCATGTGAGATTGTTCTCAAGCCACTGTCTTCAGACGGGTTTATTCCGTAACCAGTGGTGAGAGCATTTCAGCCTTTCAGCCTTTCCTTAGTGGTTTCTGATTACCTGATTCTGTTCCCTCTCACCCACTTGTCCTGTCTGTACCCATCTGTTCGCCTCAACTGCCTTTGGACTCCTACTGGAT